CCCCTAACCACTCTGCCACAGCCGCCCCACAATATCTGATGATCGACTCTTTTAAATGAAACCAGAGAGCGTTGACAGAGAGGAGAAGGTAGAAATGACTCAGCCTGGAACTGAAAATATGGATGAAGGACAACAGAGCTGCTTCATGGAAGAAGAACCTCAGCTTAGCCTTTTAGCCTTTGTGCTAGCACTGACGCTATATTGCGTTATATTTATTAGCTCGGTGCTAGCGCGACAAACAAGCTAAACTGAGGTCCTCCATCCATATTTTCAGTTACAGGAAAATAAATAAAATAAAATTATGACTTTTATTCATTATATTATGTCTTTATTCTCATATTATCATGAATTTATCCTTATAATATTATGACTTCATTCTTGTAACATTACGATGTAATTCTCGTAATATTACGACTTGAAAGTTGTAACTTTATGACTTCATTCTCATAATATAATGACTTTATTCTTGTAATAAAAAATAATAACAATCTGGTTGTGTAGTCCTAATACTTTGTCATACCAAAACAGTAGCTAAAGGTAACAAAAAATACACTACAACTACAAAAATTCAAACAGTAGCTAAGTTGTTTAATAGCAATGAATTTTTATGAAACAGATGCTAAAATCAGCGGCTGTGGCTGATGGTTAGGGGAGTTGTTCCCCTACTGTGAGAGTTGCTGATTTGATTCCCTGCCATTCTGTCACATGTTGAAGTGCTCTTGGGCAAAACACTGAACCACTGCCTCTGATGTGTCCCATCAGTGTATGAATGGGATTTAAAGCACTGATTAGTCTCTAAATATTGATTTACCTATATTAGCTTTGTAGTTATATTGAATAGAGTGCTGAAAGAATGTGAATGGGTAAATGAGGTCACAGATTGTAGTGTAAAGCACTTTGAGTGTCCTTGTTGGATAGAAAGACACTATATATGACTGACTATTAGGGCCGCACAAGTTTTTTTTCTATTACAAGAACAAAGTCATAAAATTATGACATTAAAGTTGTTACATTACGAGAATAAAGTCGTATGAGAATAAGTTGTATTATTACCCCCGCCAAGGGCGAGGTAATGTTTTCAGTCGCGTATGTCCGTCTGTCGGTCTGTCGTCCTGTCTGCGGACAACATTACTCAAAAACTTGTGGACGGATTGTCATGACATTTTTACCACATGTGGGTACTGGGCCAAGGAACACACCTTTAAATTTTGGTGATGTTCCCGATCACGATGCGGATACAGGAATTTTTTTTCTTTTAACATTCTGACATCGGCAAAGCTGTGATGCTTTCACAGGGCGTGGGTTTCAAAGTGTCCAGCAGGTGGTACTGTAGTATTGGTGTGCCCCTTTGTAACTCTATTACAGGATGGGGAAATTGGTCTTGGCGGAGGTTTGCACTTTCCGAGTACTTCTAGTTATGAGAATAAAATTGTAATATTATGAAAATAAAGTTGTATTTCCAAGATTAAAGTTATAATATAACCTTTACACATAAAAACAGTCTTACCACTGCTTTAAAATATGGAATTTTGAGCAGCTTGTGAAGTTGTTCTTTAGTATCAGTTAAAAGAAATATTTAATTTTTTTTCGCACATTAGCATCAGTAGCAGGACTTTGAAACGATTGTGAAAATGACTATAAATTGAAGCTGAATTCCAGTTAATGGCTGCATTGTCAGATTAAGTCGTCACATAATTTGGATGAAAGCATATTACACAAACAGTGACACAAAAGTCATCGCAGACTACTTTATAAACACAGTGACACATATGGCTGTCCAAAGCAGGTGTGAGGGAAATGATGAGGATAAAATCAGGAACGGAAAATGTACATGTAAGATTATGACTTTTTTCTTGTAATATTACAACTTTAGTCTCATAATATTATGACTTTATTATTGTAATAATATGACTTTAATCCCGTAAAACTACAACAATAATGTTGACTTTTATCTCGTAATTAAAAAATATAATCTCATAGCTAATACTCCATCGTAAGACAAGTACAGTCTATTTACCATTTAAAATGGATGTTCAAGCTAATATTAACAAAACAATAGCTAAAAGCAGGAAAACAAGCACTAAAGCTAAAATAGGCTAACATGTAGCTCATTTAGCAAAACAGATTTCAAGTTAGCAAAACTTTAGCTAAAAGTACCAAATAGATGCTAAAAATTTCTTCAAATTGTAGCTAGCTGTAACGAAGGATATTGAAGCTAAAACCAACTAATCTGAGTCTAAACTGATTAAAGCTTAAAAGCTAAAAGAAGCAGAAAAAAAAACATTTTATTGCAAACATTTTTTCCTCCACAGCTCAAACCACGGATGGTGATGACACCTTTAGCTATTTCTCCACCCAGCAGCACTCCTGAACCAGATATGAGCTCCATCCCTCAAGATGCTGCCACCATTCCCCACTCTGCTACGCCCCAGGTGCTCACAGGTAAAAATAAAAAGAGAATGAAATTACCACTCAGAAACAAATGCACCATTTTTCTTTTCTTCGTTTAATTTACTTCATTTTGTTTTTAACATAACAATAAAAAATGTTCCACATCTGAACCAGTGGTAGTTCCCTTGAAAAAAAGAGGAGGGTTTTTAGCACAACTTTTGAACAGAAAAATAGAAACAATATTAAAATACTAAAGTCAGGGCTACAACGGAGTGGTTGAAAAGAAAACATATTCATGTGTTAGAATGGCCCAGTCAAAGTCCAGACCAAGACCCAATCCAGAATTTGTGGAAAGATTTGAAAATGACTGTTCACTAATGCTCTTCATCTAACCTGACTGAGCTTGAGCTGTTCAGCGAAGAAGAATGGGCCAAAACTTCAATCATTAGATGTTCAAAGCTGGTGGAGACATACYCTAAAAGACTTGCAGCTGTAATTAAACTCTCATCTGTTCCTGATCTCCATTTAGTTTAGGTGTCTCCAGTTCCCTCATCGTCATAGTCTTATAAATTCAGTCTCTGTTTGCACATTGTTGGTTTTCCTGCTAAAACCCACTTCTCCTGGTGTTCTTGGAGGGTTTTTACAGGTTTGTGCTGCCGTGTCTCAGCCTTTTTCTTTTGCATGGTTTAAAAGGAAACTCTTCTTTATTGTCTTTGGGAATGTCTTAAAATACATGAATTTTGATGTTATCAAGTGTCTATTTGAATTGTTTAATGTAAAAGTACCTTTAAAGGTTAAACTCTGTGTACTTGGAATCTACCCAATGGAATTTAAACAATTGACGAGGAAGACTAAATTGATAGAATATGGATTAGTTCAAGCCAGGAGATCTATTGCATTATGTTGGAGGAGCATGGACGCCCCCTCCCTGGGACTCTGGAAGAAGAAAACTACAAATTCGCTGGGACTGGAAAAACTAACATACCTTGCTAAGGGTAAACAGGGGAAATTATATATGAAAATAATAAGGACTGAAGACAGGGCTTGTTAATGGGGGGTGCGTGTTGTGATTCTGCAGCTATTCAGTGTGCATTGCCAATGCAATGCACACGTTTCCCATCCAAGTCATCTCAACTTTGCCATGCTTCTCCTCCTGCATACAAAAATTTAAATTGCCAGCTAGTTTCCAACAATTGCAGTCTATTAAGTGGGTGTGATTAACTGCATACTTTGCCATTGTAATTTATATCTGTAAAGCCCCTGTGCCAAATGATGGCTATGCCTTTTGGTGCCTGTAAAACTTATAGTTTATGAAATATTAATGTTTAATAAATTATAATGGCAGTCAATAGAGCCTTGTATTGGTCCAATACTGCCCCCTGCTGCCTCTACACAATA